AAATGAACACCTTGCCACTCTGCACAATAGGCACACAGGGGTGATTGGATGAAGTGACCCTCAAAATAGTTTACACAACCCTAGTAGCCACTGTGTTACTAATTCTGTGATATTATAGATCAATAACCTGAGAGAAGAATCACAATCTGAGTCTTCAAAAATTTACTAGTGTACTGTAATTCAATGTGGCAAGAGGGGATAATTAAGTACATTCAGAATAATTTTATTTAATTAATTTTAATTGCAGCCATTAAAGTAAAATTGAGTTTTTGTTTTCACCAAGTCCATTTCTTTGTCTTGGTTTCACCACTTTTGGGTAGATAACAATGGCACAGCATTGAAAGGTCAAGTATGACCCACAATCTGAAAAATATGACCTTTCTAATTAAGAACTTTGAAAATACGTATTTTCTAAGGCACCGCACTTAGAGAAATGAATATATCAAATTAAATAAAATTTATATTACAAATTACGCCTTGTACAAAATTATCTTTAAAAGGTGTTTCAAACAAACAAAAAACCTCATATATAGTTCATGATATAACACCAAAATTGTATAGAAAAGAAGATCTGGAAAACAGTTTGAAGAGATTACTCCAAGTTTTCTTTCTTGCCCTTTTGTTGGAAAGGCCTAAATCATATTTTTACAACAGTTCATTGCTGCAAATCTGGTGCTGATTTATCCTACTGGTGTTGTGAACTAAAGTCTTTTGTCATCACCCATGTACAAAAATTCACAATTTTTTAAATCTTGATAAGTTTCAGATATTGAGCACACAGTCTGTTCGAAAATAGACATCCTTAACCCACAGCACTTGCTTTAAAACCTTGTTAACAGTCCTGTGGATTTCAGCGGTGGTGAATAATAGGACAAGTCCAGGCCATGTGAATTAATGAACTCCTGAATTACATTTGTAACAGCAGTTCTTTGCAACCAACATTTATTAAAGATTCTCTGAGGTGTTAATATATTCGGATCAAAATGACCCTGCCAGAGAAAATTATTTAATATCCTATAAATTCACTTACTGTGGTATGAAGGAATAAAAATAGAAAGACTCATAAGATGCAGGGCAAAAACTAAATTAAGGATCTCCAACGAAGAGCTGTCTAACCTCTGCTACATTCAGGGTAGGAAAACCCACCATATCTTAGTGAAATTAACCATGAAAGTCAACTGGGTGACCTTGAGCCAGTCAATCTCTCTCAGACCATCCCACTTCACAGGGTTGTTGTGGGGAAAATAGGAGGAGAAAGACATGTTATTTATTTATTTATTATTTATTATTCGAATTTCTATACCGCCCTTCTCCTTTCGGACTCAGGGCGGTGAACAGCCAAAATAAAAACATTTATACATAAAGTACGATTAAAAATAGATTTAAAATAATTAAATTTGGCCCATAGTTTAAAATTTATCAATTTAAAATCCATATCAAAATTTAAAACCAACCATAAAATCATAAAATCAAGAGAGACCAGCTAACTGAAAGAGATGAGTTTTTAGGGCCCAACGAAAAGTCCGGAGGTCGGAGATCACTCGTTGGATATGCTTGCCACTTTGAGTTATTTGCAGAAATAACAAAAGCAAGATACAAGTAAATAAATAAATAATCCATCTTCAAAAGACTTGATCCTTTTCAATTATGGTCCTGCTCCTTTGAAATAGCTTAACTCCTACGGCATCTACTCTTACAACATTCTTGGACACCTATTCAGAAAGCCATTTGGGGATCGATAAGGTCATGATACTGTCAGAATATTCATGAACTGGCAGAGACATGGTAACAAGGTCAGCCAATGAATAGGCATAGGAAATGGATCAGCCAATAAGGGCTGCTTAGAAACTGAAACTGGAAGGAGCCTGGATGTGGCTCTGTATTAAGCTCTGTGCTCAGCTCTGAAACAAGTCTGGTCTAGTCTGTCTGCAACTCTGAACTGAAAACTGTTCTCACCTCTGCTGTTGGTATTGTATATTTATCTTCATGTGTTATATTATGTATAAAGAGAAGTTAATGAATCCTGCTAAATCAATTACCTGTGTGTGCTTTCTGGATTTGATTTTGCAACAAACTCTGACAGCTGCCCCAAAGGGTGAGTGTGTTTGATTATTTATAATTTTATTAATTTATTATTGTGTTTAATTTCTGATACTCATTCTGTAAGCTACACAGAGTTTCTGGAAGATCAATACCATCTAAACTGTATGTGAGAATGAATGGAGAACAAACTAATAAATAAGCATTCCACTATCAAACAATTTTTATTATTGGGACATGTTCAAAGATTCAACTAGAATCAGGCTTCCTTTAACTTAAATCCATCTTGATAACAAATGCAGTATCATACCCAAATACTAAAAAAAAAAAATCTAAGTAATTTTTCATTTGTATCAAAGCAAATGGTAAGTTCAGATTTATTACACAAGAGCTCTTGTGGAGCAGAGATCAGGTGTGTTCAGATTTCTCTTGATAAATGGACACGTTTATTCGGCTGAACAAAGGTGGATCCTCCCATAAGATTAGAAGAACCCTGAATGCAGTTTGAAAAATTTCTTATTTTTACTTGGTTACATAAGAGGAAGTTAGCACAGAGTAGATATGGTATAGAAGCTATAAAAATACTTATGTATGCCTTCTGTAGCTTGGATCACATGTTTAACCCAATGGGCTTGTGGTTTCTGATGGAACTTTGCACAATCCTAAAGGCCCGGCTTAGGCCTGAACTTTAATTCTGCAATCTCAACATAAGAACTTTTTAACCAATGGTGAAATCCTCCGCGGGTTGCCCCTGGTTCGCTGCTCACGCATGTGTGCTGTGCACCAAACATGTACTGTACGCATACATGTGCAGTGCATTCCAAACGCACGCTGCACATGCATGCGGATTTCATGGCAAATGCATGCTGTGCATGCACGCATGCGCAATGTGTACTAAACACACAGAAAAAGGAGCCGTTTGAAGGTAAGTAGAACAGTGAGCAGGGGAACAGCTGTGCCGCGTGATTTAGATTTGCTAGAAAGCAGGACTTCCTGCTTTCTAGCGAATATAAATCACGCGGCACAGCTGATCATCGGAAATACCAGTTCAGACGAACTGGTAGCTTTTTTTTACTACCAGTTCACCCAAACTGGTAGCTTTTATTGCTACCTGTTCACCCGAACCAGTGCGAACCGGTAGCATTTCACCTCTTTTACCCAATCATCAGAGTTATCAGAATCCTGATCAACACTCTTCCTAGAATCATTTCTAGTCTAGTGTCTATATGTATCAAACCACTGACATTGATTTATAAAGTAATCTGACAGGACACCAGACATACATACAATAACAACAAATTTGAGATCATTTCTGTCTGATTAACCAACCTATTTTCCATATATAATAGCATTGGCTGGCCTCTTCAGTTCAGTGCCAATCAATATTTTCATATTTCTAATCATGCATGCAAGAGGGCTGAATGCCAAATTAAAAGAAAAAAAGAAGCTATATCCTTCATGTGTATCACAATTTAAAGTTTATTAAGTAAAGACATACAATTAGTAACCACATGTGATTTTAGAAACTGAATAAAACACGTTGATCCAGAGTATAAACTCGGGGGTGGGGTGGGGGGAAGCTAATACAAATCCATTTTGAAAACTTTGAAGGAGTTATATCAACTCCTTCTTCTCAGAAGAAAATAATGACTTCTGGATTTTGTCAACTTTGAGTTAATGCAGAACAAACTAATCTATGGGCCAAGAAATCTTTGTAATTTGGTGAAGAGTGGATGGCTGTTGATAGGATTTGTGTAGATCAGCCTTCCCAAAACTGGCAAGTGCTCTTACTGTCATGCTGGCTATGTATTCTGAGTTCTGTAGTCCAAAATATCTGAAAAGTGTTGGGCTAAAGAAAGCAGGTATAGAAAAAAGTCCAGTGGAAATTCTGTCAACGATTTAGAAATGCAACATTTACATCTTGAAGCTGAATATCTACAATATGTGGTATTTTGCTTATCTTCAACAATGAACTTTGAGATGTAGTATCTATATGGGGGTAGGGAAAATGTATCTATTTTAAATTATAGAGTGATCCTTCCAGCTTAAAGATATGGAGTGGAAAGATTTTATGGGCTCTGCCTTTTGTTCTTATGGATCAAATTTGACAAATGGGATTGTTTTGTCTGGCTTGCATTTTGGTTCCTTGTGCAAATTAACATGGAACAAAGCAGTTGCTGAATGAGTTTATTTCTTTAAAAAAATACATACACAGCTATTTCTTTCTTTATTGGCAAATCTATAATAATAAGTTACATTGGTGTTCTTCCTATATCAGACTGAAGAAAACATTCCATCACCGAAAGACAAAAACTGCCAAGAACGCTTAAAATATATGAAAAATATTGAATGGGTTGCCTCACATTTATTTTCTAGTAACATTGATAGAACAAAGGAACTGCTGCCCTGAATCAATGTTTATGCTTCTATTTGTGATAAGATTGGAAATAAGGAGAAAAATTCAGGTTAGGTAGAACAATATAAAAGAAGGAATATAGAGCAGGAGGAAGATCAACAATCGTAAACCAGAGAATAAGTTTGTATGTAAAGTTCCTGTACTTTAAAATGATGACAACTATTTCCCAACATATTTGTTTGGTCCCCATTTATTTCAAAGGGTGTTTCCCAAAACAACAACATATTGTGGTTCTTGTTGATCGACTTATATTTAATTCAATCTTTTGTATACATTTTTCAGCACCAATTGCTGTTGCTCTAATTTAGATCAGATATTCTCCTCCTGATTGAGAAAAATAAAAGAAACTAAAAGGGCAAAATCATTCAGTGATCTTATATCTCAAAAATTAGTTCACCAAAGTCTGGTGGTGAGAATTAACAAATTTCAGCTATATTTATGTTTGCTTGTTTATTGTTGCATATGTCATCCTAGGAGTTTGCATGACTGCATGTGTCTCCCGGAAAAAAATTACCAACTCCAGTTTTCCTGTGTCTTCTTCTAGGCTGGACAGCAACGCTGGTGGGAACAGGAAATTACTGTGAATGGGAAGATCCAGAAAGGAGAATTAATAACCTACAACTTGACAGAACTCATCAAGCCTGAGGCTTATGAAGTTCGCCTGACACCAGTCACTATTTTCGGAGATGGAGATGCAACCATTCGTGTAATCAAGTACAGTGGTAAGGGGATAAATCAGAGTTTTTCTTTTGCAAGAGAGAGAGAGAGGGAGGGCTTGGGAACATAAGTCCCAAAGTCTGACTTCCAGCCTTCCAAACCTTGATGGGAGAGGTTGGGGCATCTTGGGTTCTTACAGGGCCCTAATCTAGTCTGATAAATTGTCCCTCCTATTAGTTTGTTTGTTTTTTTAATATTGTTAATGTGCAAAACAGAAGCAAGCAATTCCTAGAAGGATTCATCTTTTATGAATTGAACGCTTATAATCATACATATATATTCATATCAGAGTAAACAATTACATCATTCAGAAGTTTATTATTATATTAAAGTATAAGCTGTTCAGTTAAAAATGGAAATTAAACATGTAAATGTATCCATGGAATTCACATTTCTTAGTAGTCTTTGAAACAATCTACCAGGAAAATGTTCAAATACAGAAATATTACTCATTATGTGTATCATGACCATACACTGTTTCATACATTTGTTCACTAAAATTCTCCCTTGCTTTTTTTAGGAGCTCATGAAATTCATTCAACCTTGACTTTCTCAGTTTTTATTGTTGTATCCACCCATTCATTCTTTCTTCATTTGTTTTGCTATACTGTCCTCTTTAATTCTGTCTATATGGGAAACTGCTAGATTTATCTATTGTACTGTCCCTTATTTTAGTATTCAGTTCATATTTATTGATTACACATTCATTCTTAACCTAATTTATTTTTGTTTTACCACACACACACACATTTCTTGAGTATCTCATTCCCACTGCATCCAATTTACTTTTATGTTTGTGGTAACAAACCCAACTCTCATTCCCATACAACTGTGATGGCGAACCTACAGCCCTCTTTGTGGACATGCGCGCCATCACCAGCTGCTCTTCTGGCTTCCAGCGTGTGCATGCATGCCGGCCAGCTGGTCTTCGCACATGGCAGAGTTCCGGAACCCAAAGACCAGGTGGCCGGCACACGTATGCCTTCAAGTTTCCAGTGCTTTGGTTTCCATTGCTCTGGCACGCATGCATGCGTGTTCCAGTTTGGGCACTCAGTGGCGTCCACGTACATTCCGGTTTGGGCACTTAGTGCCAAAAAGGTTCTTCATTACTTCCATATAACAAAGCATACTCTTATATGTTGTCATTTTCATTTCTTTGAACAGACATTCTTCATGCTAACTTTCTAACAGCATTTTCACATTTTCACATTTCTCCTTCTACACTGCTATTTTTATAAAACCTTCTACACAAGTTCTACTTCATCTGTCCTTCCAGATCAAAACTTGCAATTGGTTACCCCATTTCCCCTATTAAACACAGCTTTTATCTTTGATACATTAATTTGCAGTTCCACATTACATGGAGTACAATCTAACATATTGAAACCCATTTTGGTTCTCAGCCAGTGATACAGCATTCACATCCCCAACTACCTGTGTCTTTAATATCACTATAAACATTATTATATAGCCAAGAGGATATTGCACATACTTCAGAGAGTAAGTTAGAAAGGAATGTAGGCTTGAAGGCGAAGCTAAAAGGAACAAAAAGGGGTCCTTTAGCTCTATCAATATAAAAAAGAAGGGATGACCGTGCTGCTTGGAGAGAATGATGGGACAGTAAGAAGTAATAGGGAACATACATGGCTTTTCAACTCCATTTCAGAATTCTCCCCAAAGGAGATTCTGTGATTCTATGTTCAAATGAAATTAAGTGGGTAGGGGATTTTTGGTAAATAAGAAGGTGATTAGGAAGCACTTTGGTACCATAAAGAAGTTAAATCTCTAGATTGAAACAAATTACAGCTGATAGCCCTGAAGGATCTGGTGGATATCATTCTGGAGTTCTTTTCTGTGATCTCCAAGAAACTACAGTATGTGAGAATTGATTTGGTGCCAAATGATCAGAAAAGCTCAAATATTTCTGTCTTCACATAAGGGGAAAAAAAGAGGTCACTGATAACTACAAACTGGTCATCTTCTTGATGTTGACTTGCTAAAGTGTAAAAATCTTGTTTACACACTGCCTGTTTAACGTAAAACTGTATTGCTCTTCCCAAAGTTAGCATATTTTCTCTCCTTTTCATCAGTTTTTGCCAGACCTCTTCCCAAGTGTACTTGGGAATGATTTATTTTTAAATTTATTTCTCATTGCTGTTTCTGTGCCACTGCATTCCATTACAGCTCAAATCGCCAATGTCGTTGTATGTTTCACATTCAATTTTGTTGTTTCTTTATGAAAACAATAATGGGATTCTTTCAGTTGTCAAGCACAGGAGGCAATCTGCATGCATACATTAAACAAGTCATTTTCTAAATTAGGTAACAGCAGATTCCAGCAATAATTTATCAAGTTAACCCTTGAAAATGGGAAATGTTTGCAGTGGTTAATAATCAAGGACATATCAACCCATCTTAAAACAATATGGGGGAAAAACAAAGAGGCAGCCAGCCATATTCCATGGTTGTGAGGGTATACACTTTCTCCCCAGGAACTTATCAGAATGTGAAGTGGGTCTGTATCTGTGCCTTTATATGTGTGTGTGAGTATCTAGGAAAGCCTAACTAGGATGGATGCATGATGCTTCTGTGTTGTAGCTATATGTTTCAGCTCTTCCCCCATGTGTTCTGTCCCCGTCTCACACACACACACACAAACAGACAGCCGGGGGTTAAATAAACTGGCAGACAACCAATTCTTCCGATAAGACGCTTGGCAGCAACCCAGTAGCTGCTTGCCAAGAACTTTTACTCAATAAACAAAATACCCACAGTCAAGAATTGTCCAGTTCGTAAAATAAATCCAAGGCCGATAATGTTGTTTCCAAAGATGCAATGTGACTCGATAGTAGTTAGTTTTGTCCGTCACAGAGTCTGAATGGCCACCTCACCCCCTTTTATACCCTGTGGGGTGTGGTCCAGTGACTCAGCCTAAACTCTGGCACGCCTTTTCTTCTGTTGCGCGCGCTTATCTCTGCGACACTGCCGGGGATCCAGCCAAGACTCATTACCCTCATCACTGTCCATCTGTGGCTGCGTGGACGTGCTTGGCCCTGGCCCTATCTCTTTCCCTTCGACGGACACCGAAGGCATTGCCAGAGAGGAGGGTCCTGAAGAGGGAGGCCTTGCCAACTCCTCTCCTTCACTTTTGGAGTCCTCTCCTGCTGATGACACAGGCTCAGGTAACGGAGCCACAACACCATGTTGCATCTCTATGTTAACGTGGATCCCCATAGTGGAAAACACAGGATAAGACTGCATTTATCCTACTCTGGGTGATGTGACCAGTAGGAAAGATGGCTTAGAACAGGGGTGTCAAACTCAAGGCCCGGGGGCCAGATCCGGCCTGTGGGGTGCTTAGATCTGGCCTGCAGGGCTGCCCTGGAAACAGAGAAGGACCAGCCTGTGGTGCCTCAGCAAGTGAAAACAGAGCTTGCAAGGGATGTGTGCGGTCCTCCTGAGCTCTGTTTTTGCTGGCAGAGGGTTGCAGGAGGATATCGCAGCTGAAAATGGAGCTTGCAAGGGCCGCGGGAGGACTCCCAACTCCATTTTTGCTGGCCGAGGGTTGCAGGAGACCGTTGCAACTGAAAATGGAGCTCGGGAGCCTGTTTTCACTGGCAAAGCACTCAAGCCACCACAGGTCCCCCCAACACACGTGATGTTGAGCTGGCCATGCCTATCCTGGCCATGCCCACCCTGACCCCCAATGTCAAACACAACCCTGATGCGGCCCTCAATGAAATTGAGTTTGATACCCCTGCCTTAGAATAAAGCAATTAGTGGACTTTCTTGGCCATTACCCAATTACTCAACCATAGGATGTATTTGTATTTTGTTTTGTGTTTCTGGAACTATTTTTCTCACAATTCCAAGTTTTGCCCCATTTCTGAATTCAGTCTTGCTTTTCCTAGCTTCTCTCTCTACACCAAATCTGGTCCTGTTGTTCCAATTTCTGGAGATACAAAGTCCTGAGCAATTTTACATGGTTTCTTTCCCACATTATATTTCTTTGAAAAGAATAAAAAAGTATAATACTCCAACAAAGATTTAAAAAACCTAGCAAATCTGACCAAAAAGGGGAAAAAAACTTTTAATATAATGAGTTCCATTTGAGCTAGTGTATTTCTTGATAATAAAAGATTAGAAAACTTGTTCTTGGTTGGTTTATTCCAAGAAGATTTGACTTAATATCCCTCTTGAGTATGAATAGTGAAAATATGGGTGATTAGAGAGAATTTGCTTTTTAATTTAACTCCCCTCTTTTCAATACTGCTGATGTAAATGAGTAAGTGGAACAATCTTAAAGGCTTTACTACTTAAGAAACATCAGTTGCAATTTTAATTTTCCAATCTTCTGCTTAGAGCTGGTGCTTGATGTAAATAAATAAAAACTGAGAGGAATGTTGATCTCAAACACAATTGTGCATATCCATTATATTTAAAGGGAATTCATTAGATGCTCAAGTCCTAGTATTTTCAATACAGTTGGGAACTAAGTTATAAACTTTCTTTTTTTTTTTCTCCACCTTGATTAGAAAACCTGGCTTTTTGCAAAGCCCAGATTGTGATCCTGTTCAGGGCCTCTGGATCTGCTGGTGCACATAAGCTCAAGGCTTTTCTTTCTACTATTTTTTTAAAAAACTTTTTATTAGTTTATAATCTAAAATACAAAAGAAATAGTGGGAAAATAAAGGAAAGGAAAGGGGAAAGTGTGCAGGGGTGTCAAACTGACAGCCCACAGGCCGGATGCATCACGCGCAGGCCACGCCCACCCCAGCTCTGTAAACGCAAAAATTGCAATATGTCACATGATGTCACATGATGCGATCGAATTCGACACTATAAGACAAAAGGAAAAAAGAAAGAAAAAGCATTAACTTCCCCAACCCCCTTTGGTGCAGTAAAATAAGAGAATAGCATCAAACCTCAACTTTTTACTTTTAGATAATAATATAAACTAGCTATTTCTATAACAACAAACCTATCTAATTGGTAAAACTTCAAG